ATGATGGTCTTTGGATCTCCCTGTAATCAAAGAGGATGCTCAGTTAATATAGCTGAAAAAGTGAATGGGGTGTCACTGTCCAGGCATTGTTGGGGAAGAAATACAGAAAAATTATTCAATACTGTGCATTCTTACACAGGATAAATATGCCTTGACATACAATCTATTCTCAAAATTCAGTTTTAGATACTGCTCAGTCCTAGAACTGGTTGAGGAGGCCAAATGTAAATGATATTTTTTCCATTTCAAGTTTGGCTCCTTTCCTTTGTACAACTGCCTATGCTCTAAAAATTTGCTAGATAGCAATAAAAAAAGAAATTAACATAAAGTGGACAAAGCGTTCATTTTCCTAACATAGCTGCGTTGAGGAAAAGGAGAACAGTAAGGATGAGAAAAGATCAAGTAGTACCATTTTAAAAAACCTGTTAATTAAACTAAATTATTCATTATTTTCCCAGCCCATTTACTCCAAAGAATTTAAACACAATTCTGAAATGGCAGCACATGCTCTAAATGCACTATGGTTGAAAAAGAAACACAACATGAGAATAAAGACATTTTAAAAGCCTTTTAATTACAACCAGCTCCCACAGATCTAAGATCCTGGGACGGGCTGCTAGGCAGACCCTTTTAAGAAAGCCCAAGCATGGCAACTTCCCAGAGAACTGGGAAACCTGTACCTTTCATGCCTTCCTGTGTCCCTCAAGTGATTTAAAGGCAATTCCGTCCATACCTAGTAAACAGTCTGATCCTCTTGGATCAGGGTACCTCAGAGGCCGGGTGGTGTAGGGGCTAAGGTGCTGGTCAGAATCAGGGAGCCCCGAGTTTGAATCCTCCCTAGCTGACTTTGGGCCAGTCCCTCTTCCTCGCTCTCTCAGCCCAGCCTACCTTGCAGGGGTGTTGTGGGGAAGAAGGCAGCATTACGTGCGCTGCCTCGAGCTCCTGAAGGAAAGGCACGCGACGCATCTCACAGTCAAAAACATGGAATAAACGGGCATTAACCCAGAGGCATGAAGGAACAGGGGAGAAGCCGTCAAGGTCCAGAAAAGATACAACTCTGGACTCCACGAAGGGGACCCTCCATTGAGGGTGGGGGGGTGAGACACCCGGACACCTCCAGGGGCCCCCGCCCGGGCCAGGCGAGCCGAAGTGAAAGCAGGGACGAGCCCAGGCCTCCTCCTGGCGGGACCAGCAAGGGAGCCCCGGGGAGGCGAGGCGAGGCGATGAGCCCCGCATCTCTCGGGAAGCGCGACGGCTTTGTGGAGAAAGAGCCCATCCGGAGGAACCGGGAGAGAAGCCGTGGGCTCGGCTCCCGACTGAAAATCGCGGCTCCGATGGGGGCTGATGGGGGCCAAAGGGGATCCCCCCCCGACCCACCTCCGCAGCCGCCAGCAGCTCCGCTGCCCCCGCGGCCCATGTAGAGGCCAGTCCGGGACCGAGGGGGGCATAGAGACGAGGGGCCAGAGCGGCCGCGAGAGAAGCATCGAGGTTTCCCCATCTCTATGGAAAAAGCAGCCATAGAGGCGGTAAGGCTAGAGCGTTCCGGGGGGCGGAATGGATGGGTCCGCCTGCGCCGCGGCGGAAAAGTTTTGCTTTGTGAGGAGGACCGGGTGGGGGGGAGAGCAGGCGAAATGCCTCTGATCGTGATGCCCCGAGCCGGCCGTGATCGTCCCCTTCCTTATGACCAAATGCAGCCTTCCCCGGCGTCGCCCCTTGCAGGGGACTACCAACCCCATCATCCCCAGCCGACGCGGCCTTGAGGAGGGTTGAGGCCTCTCTGGCGGCCCCAGGTTGGAGAAGGCTGCTTTATCACGCCTGGATGTAGAAATGCAGGAGACAGAGTCCCTGCCCGAAACAGTTTCCAGCCAGTTTTGGGAAAGGGAGGGTAGCGGTGGTTGGACTTGTGGGACGAACGGGCCCAGCGATGGGGCTGAGCTTGACTTGAGGGTCGTGGGAGGCGGCGAGGGGCCCCGTTCCTTTGAAGGAGGAA